TTTATAATGCGATATCCAGTAAAAATTGCGATTTATTGTTTTCTAATCTTTTCGAAATTTTCTAGGGGCCCTGGTCCGTAGACTGGGCGAATTGTATCAGTCATCATGTGAATCATGTGATCACTTCTGATTGGTCAATCACGGGTGCTATGGTGACAAGTCGCCATAAAATAATACACAAAAATTATTTATTTTTAAAGATTTATTATTTTATAATAATTCATTTTTTTTTTTAAATAAATTTAGTAGTCTTGCCTTCACTTTATTAGGCTTTGTAATAATTATCTAAACTATTAAAATTTTTTAAAGAGTTATACTCTATAGTATCTAAATTATAAGTAAAGACTTATCTGTTGCTCACTGAGTATCTATGTGCAACTTGCTATAGTAAAATTCATCTCTGTATTATCTTATCCTGCAATTGGCTTCAATAATACATTACTAGCTAGTTTTTACCACCTGTCAAAACTACATATTAGTTTTCTACCAATCTGCTCATTGTATTTTTATAATAATAATTTTTATAAAATATTTTAAAATATTATATATTATTAATTATTAAAATAAATTTATATCAAATCAATAAAAATAATATAAAAAATATATATTAAAATTTACTTTATTTAATATAAAAAAATTTAAATAATTAATTAAAAATTTAAAAACTTTTATTAAGATTAAAATTAAAGTACAAATCTTTTCATACTAGTTTATAAATATATATAAATTTGAGTTAGAATCTCATAGTCTAGTAGTTTAGGCATTTAACTTTTTATAAACAATTTTTGAATTCAAGTTCTAGTAAATATAAAATTTTAAATATTTAAATAAATTCACTATAGAAAGTCTAAATAAGTACAGGTTTGAAATAATAATTTTTAGAAAAGTCCATTATAAAGAAATAATACTATAAATAACAAGTAGATATTATAGAATTTTCTATTATACAAAAATTGAATATATAAATTCTTAGTTAGTATAAATTGTATAAACAACTCTAAGGCAGTATTAGAAATTTTTATTGTAAGAATAACTAGATAGTAAGGTTGGCAGGTAAAGTATTTTCAGATTTTAGGATTTTTGAACAGACAATTTAGAATAGCTCTGAAAATAAAATCAGGTATCCGAAAATAGCAAAGCGTTAGATCACATGATATTGGGCCAATAAAAATGTATTGATATGAGTAGGGCAGATTTTTAGATTATGGAGTACTGATCTGGGTACTAATCCGAGTCACAATAGTAAATAGTAATAATAAGTTTATTTGACAGACTTGATATATACAAAATGATGTACTAAATAATGCATAATTATTTGTTATTAAATAAATAAGGTATTTGGTTATGAGGTTATGATTAATCAAATTTCTATTTTTGTTCAAGTAACGTGAAATTTTATCTTGTAAAAGCAGAAAGTGAAGCAATACTATTTATATTTTGTTTAAGTAACAACCAAATAATACTTGTATAAAAGCGAACAAAAAATATAGATTAGTAAAGAAAACTTATTAGAGACATAAGTAAAAATTATAGCGAAGTGGTAAATAATAAATGATATTACTTAACCTATATACTTTTTGGTTTAATTTATAAAATATTTAATCGATTAAAAAACAAACTTATATAAATTATTACTTTTTTTTTATAATTATATGTACAAGTTTAACTTTTATAATATCTAATAAATGGGAATATCCAAAGTGTACAATTTCTGAATTTTTTGTTGAAGTTCTGGGAGATGATAGAAAGCCAAAGTTTTGGAATTCATCAAATAAAGAAATAGTATGCAACTTCTGTTTAAAAAAAAATAAAAATTCTTTTGAAAATTTAGAACGAGGAAAAGAAATTGTAATAGGCAAACCACAATATTATACTTAGTATCTTCTTGCTTGTTTAAATGCTTCTAGTGATTTAAAGCAAGAACTTCAAGGTGAAGTGAACAATATTGGTGATGCTTCAGAAAGTTTAGTTTTAAGCAAATACCTTAAGTTTAATCATAATAAAGAATAGTTTAAAAATGAGATTTCTAAATACATTCTAAAATCTCTAACAGACAAATGGATTAAAGAATTTCAAGAAAAGCTTTTAAAAGCAACTATCTCTAATGAATAGTCATTTCAGTAGATAGAAAATAATAAATCATTAAAACTTCTTCATTTTCTTAATCCAACTTTGTAGCTTAAATCTACTGCAATTTTATCCCATCAAATATTAGGAGAAAAACTTCTTAATAATGCTGCGAATAAGCTTCAAACCAAGACTATAAAAACTTTACAAAGTGCAAAAGCTATTACTCTTACCTTTGATAGTTGGAAAAATGTTGTGTAAAGCAAAATATTCTTGGCATTATTTGTATTACAGAAGAAGGTAAAGTAATAATATATAATGCAAGAGATATTTCAAGTGAACGTAGCTCCATGGAGGCCACAATAAAATTGGTAAAGAATTTATTAATAGAAGATGAATTAAATGATGTTAAGATTATTGCAGTTGTCATGGATTCATCAAGTGGTTATGCTGCTGTATTCGCAAATTAAGAAAAGAATTATCAACAATAATTTGGCTACCTTGCTTTGCTCATCAGGCAAATCTTTGCATCGTTGATATTTTCAAGTCATTGCAATCTTTTTTTACTACAATTAAGCAAGCCGTAGTAGTTACTACTTTCTTTAATAAATCGCTTTTTTTTACAACACTTCTTAAAAATACTTGCAATAATATTAAAATTCCTTATTTTGCCTTCACTAATCCTACTGAAACTTGGTGGTATTCATATTTTAATTGTATTTGAGCTCTTTTAAAAGTAGAGTATGCATTAAGGGTATTTAAATTTATATTTTATTATTTAAATATTTAAAGTATAATTTTAAATTTTATAATTTATTTTAATAGAGCTTTTCAGTAACTTATAAAACAAGTGTTCGAATATATAATAAAAAAGCTTTACTTCTTTTTCAACCTGTTACAAGTATCTTAGATAATCGCAAGTTTTTTAATAATCTTTGTATATTGAAAGCAATACTAAACCCTTTTGTAGAAGCAATTGCCTTGCTTGAAAAAAATAATATCCGTCTATATCATGTTCTTATTTGTTTTAGATATTTTAGTCAAATTTTTTCTAAAAGTGAAACTAATGATCAAGAAATTCAGGAATTCAAGTGTATAATAATAAAACATCTTGAAAACATTGGAAAGACTTGGAACAGCTACTTCTTTTGTTGGCATATTTTTTTAAATCCTGACTTTCAATTAAGCAATTTAAATTTAAAAGCAAGTAATATTTCTTTTGTGAAATCATGCAAATATGCTCAAATATATTATGAAATATGGGCAGAAAATAAGCCACTGAGGTTGGGATCCCGCGGCCTAGTGGTCTAGACACCCAACCCTCCACGAGTGGGCTTCGGGTTCAAGTACGTTTACCTATGAATATTTGGAAGTATCTGCCGTGGGAAGTCCAAGTGAATACAGGTCTGGATTAGAAATTTCCAGAAGGAGGTCCATTGTGGAGTAGTTGGCACTATGTGTAACAGTGGTTGTTACAGAAGGTTCTATTACAC